AAAAAAAAAAATGTATAATAATAATATCTATAGTATAACATTTATAATGTAAATTAATATAATTAACATAATGTAATGTATAAAACTATCATTTTTAACCACGCCAATGATTGCTAAATGATACTAAATGTTACTAAATAAAATAAATCTAACCCCTTCAAATGCATGATAATTTTATTTAAAAACTTTTTTGAGCCCAAATGCAGTTCGACCATTATCTTTTTTAAACCCAAGTGTAATTTGACTAAAATAAGTACTATTTGACCATACCCCCTTTTCTATAGATCGGAGGTGGTTGGGTGAACTTAAATCGCGTGTTCACGTTTATAAATTTCCCTAGTTTTTTTTTTTTTTTATTTATAAAATTTTCCTAAAATTTGTCATCTAGATTTAGGTGTAAAGAATTACTTTTTTTTAATATTTTGTAAATTGGATCACAATGGTATAAGAAGTTAGAACTATGGATTTAAAAGGTACTGACCGTAACAGGTTTTTTACATTACGAAACATTTAACAGTTAAACAAAATAATATACAAAATAAATATATAGGTACATAATATGCAATAGTAGTTATTAGTGATTTAAGACGTCGTGAGGATGGCCATTTCCCTAGTGCGGTACACATAATCAACAATGGAAGTTTGAAGAAAAAAAAGCCCACGGGGGAAGGGCGACTGCTGGAAGCCCTCACTATTCGTCCTCTCACCCTTAGAATGCCCCTGCACGTACCCTGTGATTAGACTACGGGAAACCCACTGAAATTCGGTCGGCAGATCGACGGTAAATAACCATTCGACCACGCTATGGCCCTGCAAGAAAATCCGAGCGAAATCCCTTATCGGAACGAATAACCTCGTCTGAACGTCGGAAGCACCAATTCCATGGCGGAGGGGGGTACTGAAAATGTTATGGTAGATATTTTTTATTTATTTTTGACCAACGAAATTCTCATGATCCGTGCACAACGAATCAATTTTTCTGGTTTACAACTTTTGTACGTAAAAAAAATTGTCGATTTGAAAACGCTTTATGCAATATTAATTAACCTTGTAGGCAATAAATTTACTGTCACTTAAAATGAAACAGTATACTAGGGATTGGCAACTGGTGGCCCTTGTACTTCTTTTATCTGGCCCAAGTTACATTTACAAAATACGTTGTTTGTAATATGTAAATATTATATTCATATCTAATATTGAACTGTAGTTAAATTTTTTAACGTCTAAGTATTATATACATCCATAACTAACACAAATATAGGTATTAGGTACTTATTATATTAGTTCAGTCGTAAAATTAAATTATAAAAAATAAATGTTGATTTAATCAGCTTTAATAACCTGTTTTTTGTTTGCTTTTTTTTACTATGGCCCGCCAGTTTTTAAAGTTCAATAAATTTGCATTCCGGTTACTTTAAGTATCCCAGCCCTGCAGTATACGAACATTGGAAGAAATGTTACAACTTGCTGAGTCGGTTTTTTTGTTTGCATAAAATTAAACAGTTTTGAGTTCATTTTCACATAAAAAAAAACTCAAACTGTACATAATAACAGTACGAAATTTCTAATTTTTTAAACGAAATAAAATAGTGCATAAAAATTTGCGGGATGTTATTAACATCAATATATCAATATGTAAATATTTAGTCGTCATTTTCCTGACGTTTAAGAAAAAACTAAGCCTTTAAAAAGTTACTTTTCTCAAAAGTCAGTCACTTAGTCACTGTAGTAACTAAGTTATTATTATTACCAGTGAATAAGTTGCAAAATAAGCGCAATGATGTCTTCGTTTACAATCATCGTTTGACGCAGATAAATCGCATGCGGATTGCTCTATTGTACGAATATACACGCGCGTGTGTGTCAGGAGAGAATGTTGTTAATGATTATATTGCGCCGGAATATGTGTGCACAACAATGCCTCCTTGACATTGGGAGAGAAGATGATCGCCACGACGTGGGAGGAAGAGTCGATTCTCACGATTGTATTTTTTTTCTACTATACCTACGTACGTTTTTTTTTTTTTTTTGTACACAAAATGTTTTAAAAGCTATTGGCTTTACGCTAGCCAATCTCGTATCATATAATTATAATAAATTATGTACACACACACGCACACACACACACACACACACATACACACATACACACACACAAATATTTTATAATACGATATTACCAACTGCCATTATTTTATTATTATATCGTTATTATGTCGCTCGCAGTCACACGAATGATTCACGTCTTGCGCAACAGATACGACTTACGCATATTACGCGTCGCGTAAACACGAATTTATTTTTTTATTTTTTTTTTTAAGCATTTTTTTTTATTTATCCTTTTGGTTTAGTAAAAATTCTCATCGCAAATACGTCCTTGGCGTGACACCGTTTTATAGAAATAATTTTTTCTCTTTTTCTTTATTTATTTATTTTTTAATTTGATCTATTTCATATTTTTATGTAATTTATTTTTCTCTGAAAAATTATTTTTACACTTTTGCCGCGCACGGAACGACAACAATTTCTAAAGATCGTAAGATTGTGGAAACTTGTTATTGTTTAATACGTTACGTGTACCGTTTATGGAATTTTGATAAACGCAATTCTTTCCGTGATAATGCACACGACATTGTCTGTCACGCAGTTTACAAATATCGATACAGATCGTATTCATACACTACGCGAATAGCCATGCAGTCTCAAATATTCATTCTAAGCTATTATCGCGCGTGTTATCCGATTTTTTAAACGTGTGTTGTGTACCGCACTGTGACGATAAGCCCGCGATTATTTTAGTTATTATCATAATGCTAGTCAAATATTACCCGGTCTCACCCGGGCGATAGTTTACAACATTTTAGATAAAAACGATTAATATTTGAAACGAAAAAAATAAATTACATTAAAAAAAAACCCAAACCGTTGTATGTCCCCTAATGATTTATTTTTTTTATATTTATTTTTACTAAATTAATTTACACAAATATTGCAATCGGTAATTATTCGGTAAATCAACATATTAAAATCAAAATAAAATATTTCCAATTTACCTTCTGAAAAAATGTATACATCCACCCCAAAGCTCAACACTGACTGGACCCATAAAAATGCGATTTTCGTATAATACTTTATATATATATATATATATATATATGCCGATATACAGAAATAATTACCTCAAAATGTTTAATGAAACGATATGGTATAAATTTCGCTGTACGCTGATCAGTCAGTGAGTTTTCAAATGGTATTTGAATTTTATATTTCAATATTGCTGGTATTTTGCTTAGACCAAAATATGTGCACAAATTTAATCTCTGTAAAACGTATAGATTTATATAGCAATAATTTTCAAACTGGATACCGCAAACGTCCGATGGACGATATGTCTCAATTTTTCAAGAAAAATTATGATTTTAGTTAAAAAAGTTCATTAAAATAATTGGGTGCTATGTTCCGTAAAAATGTTGCGAAGAGCACACAGAGTATTTGGTAATTAAAAAACAAAATTGAAGAATATTAGTATATACTATCATCGTGGAAAAAAAATCCTAATCCGTTTGACAGTATGTGTGTGTACGTATGAAATATAAATATAATATGTAAATATGTTTATAAATAATCACATGACACGCAACAATATACCGCCCTCTAACAGCGTAAACATTATTGAATTGTATTAAATCGCTTGCTAAATTTTGAAATAATAACGTTGATTTATCTTTCTTGATCTATCTGTATACTTTGTTTTAAAGTTCCACCTCGATCTTCTCATTTAGCCGTCCCGTATTTCACCACCTGCAGCTATTTGCAGGTTGATGAGCATTTAAAACGTCTAATGTTGATTGTCAATTATTCAAATCGTAATTGTTACAATATTTGTTATTGATTCGTAAATCTTTATTTGTATTAATAATTATTTGAATAATATCGTCTGCAATTATCGATATATTCAAAAAGGATTCATCCCATATAAATAAATAAATAAAATAAAATATTAATAATATCACGATATGTTTCGAAATCTAATTAGATATATACATAGGTGTATGTAGGTATGTATTAGTATTAGTTCTTTATATTTTATTTATTCACTGTAAATACTACACCACCTCCAACGTACGGTTTAATTCAATTCAATTTCTAATGCAATCGCGTGAGTATAAGCATTTTGATATCGATTAACAGGGTAAATAAATAATTAAATGAACCGAATGTCACAATTAATCGCTTAGAGATTTCGTATTATTATAATCGATATAAATATTTTTATTTCGTTATTGCAATACACATTTTCATTGTATAAATAATTCTATCAATTTGGATGGGAAAATATGAAGGAAATTCATTAAAAACAAAAGTAATATGAAGGGGGGAAAATTTCACACAACTCCTGAACGAAATAAAAAAAATATAAAAAAAATAAACAAAAAATAATAATAGTACTTAAGCAGTAGCAACGGACGATAAGAAACAAGAATACTAATAAAAGATAAAATAAAATAAAGAAAACCAACCTTTATTTGTTACATATTTTATAGTGGTTTACAGTTGGATGATTATCGAACACGATAACCCTCCGGGAAACAAAGAGTTTTAAATACATAATATATATGCATTACATGTGTAAGTAGTTCAAGCGAAGTGCAATTTAAAATTCAATGAGGGGCATATTATCGTATATGTTACTTGGAACTATATTTCTGACCACCGAGACAAATTTTCAACATGCGACTGTAATATTACGATTTACTTATTGTTGGTCATGTGTATGATCAAAAATTATTTTTACCTATGTATTTTTTTTCAGCTGCAACGAGTGAATTGCTTAAATTAGATTACATACATTTTTATTGATATCGATACGATAACGATGATCAAATGCAAGACATAGAAGTATTTCTCCGTTTAACGTTAAAAACCAAACGTTAAGTTAAATTTGATTTCAAATTATTCAATAGTAATCATATAGTATATTATTATTTATTTATATTTACCTAAAACACAGCACTCGTCCACCTCGCAATCATCTGAGCTCGTGCAACCGAGGAACGACGGTTTGTTCGGATATGCGACCGTGGAAGAAACCATCATAATCACAGCTGCAGCTAGAGCGAACGACAATTTGTACGTCATATTATTCATATTATTTGCTTTTGTCAAGTATACAGTTGTAATCTGGAAAAAAAAAATTCAATTACGTTATTGCATTTTATCGATTTCGATGATTTATATTAATACAAGGTGTGGTAATAAGAACTCCCTGATTAAGAAAACTAATAAAAACTAAACCAAGTCAAATATCAAAAAAAAAAAAAAAAATTATTTATAAATCGTACATATAATGCCATTTTTTATTAATTATTTTTAAAAATAATATCATTTAAGTGGCTGCCCTCATTTTGGATACATTGATTGAGCCTTTCTCGGTAATTTTCTATAACTCTACGGGTTATTTCGGGCGGGATAGCAGCAATTTCCTGGGTTATTACTTCCTTCAGAGCTTCCAAAGTTTGTGGACGATGTTGGTACACTTGGGCTTTTAGATATCCCCAGAGAAAAAAATCACATGGGTTCAAATTTGGTGAACGTGGCGACCATCCAAATGTCACCTCGCAATGAGACGATATGCCCTGGAAACATTTCTCGCAGAATGCTGCGTGAACGATGAGCTGTGTACGCTGTTGCACCATCTTGTTGAAACCACACATTTTGTTGTCCATACTCATGAAAAAAATCGTTCAATTTTGGCCGAAGAAATGTTCAAGCACATTACAATAGCGATTAGAGGTCACTGTTACAGTAGCACCGTCTTCTTCAAAGAAGTACGGACCCCACACACCGGATGCGAAAATGGCACACCAAACAGTAACCTTTGGACTATAGAGTAGTTGCTGGTGAAGTTCTTGAAGATTGTGTTCGGACCAATATCGAAAGTTTTGTTTATTTACCGTACCTGAAAGGTGAAAATGTGCCTCATCCGTAAAAAGCAATACATCTGTTCGGGGAATATTCCGAAGAAGATCCCGACACAATGTTGTACGGGTTTCAAAATCTCTCGGGAAAAGTTCTTTAGTGACCATAATTTTGTAGGGGTGAATTTTAAGTTCTTGATGCAGAATCCTCCAAACACTGCGATCGGATAAGTGTAAAGCAGCCGCGTGTTTCCTTGCAGAACGCCGCGGAGATTGCTCGATTGAAGTTCTCACAGCAGCAACATTTTCCAGTCCTGTTGCAGTCCGAGGTCGGCCCGTCGACTTTCTTTTTAGTGCAGAACTTGTTTGCCTAAAATTTTTTACCCAATTGTGTATTGTTTTGCTATCGGTAATGGGATCACGGCGATTGAGCGCGAACCGAATACAAAACGCACGCTGGGTCGTTATCGGTGAACCGCCATTATTAATAAATTCTTCGACAACAAACGCACGATGCTCTCCCGACCAAGCCATGATAAATACTAAAAACGGCATCGATAAGGCTTTCTATCGATATAAATATCACTAATGTACCTCCACCCAAGTCCAAACTAAGACCTTATCAAACTAGGGAGTTCTTTCTGCCGCACCTTGTATAATATTATTATTTCTACAGTATTCGACCATGAGTCGTTTGATTTATTATATTAAATCGAACAAAAACACTATTTTCTAAGGATATACATTATAAGAAACCGATATTTTAACCGAGGAAAAAATCTCAACTTATCTTAAATACATTTGGATTTATAGCTATTATTTCTGTTATTTGGAAAACATTAATACTCATATGGTAAATAATACAAAATTCAATTTGAGTATATATTTCTGGTTTTGCCTAAGTAATTTTATAAATATATATCATGCTTTTGTTCTCAACTTTCTATATGACTGATAAATAATTTATTTGAACAAATAAAATGACATGTGTACTACGTTATAGTAATAAACATTCCATCAATGACGAACAAAAACGATTAAAACAACTTGATAAACATCGAATAACTGTACCTGTGCACGTATAATGTTTAAATGTTCGCGACTCACGCATAATATGCGTGTTATATATAATAGCCGTGGTGTTGAGTAAATAAATGTAAAAACAACCAACACTTTAAAATATTCTACGTCTCAGAAAATCATATTGTACCTCGGAAGTTCATCACATATTATGTTACTCACCATTACAATGACAATAATTATTATCTTACGCTTTCCAGACGTACCATCACACGAGTGAGATTCAGTCAGTTTTCGCGTTCCGAAAAACGTTAACGTATCATACTAATGATCATATCTAGGAATTTTAATGCTTAAACTTGGCATTTGAACTCAACAAGTATTGGTTGTTCCACCCGTCTGTCCGTGTATTGATCCCAATAAAAATTAGTTCCTATATATATATGGTTTATTATACTACTCTTTATTTTTGGTTTTTAACGAGGCTTACGGATACGATACTTTGTTCGATAATCTATAGATTTTTGCTATAGTCGAAATCTTACAGAAAAAAAAATAGTAAATTAAGTTTGTCTGTATTTCTCCCCCACTTTCTCTCTCTCTCTCTCTCCCTGAATTAACGCTTTATGAAAAATTCCAATCGCGTATCAAGCCCATTTATTCGTTTATTATTTATTAGCAATCGAACGTAAGTATTATTGCGCAACATCAAGCAGCCACAGCCGTTGCAGAGCGCAGTGAAGAACATACGAAAAAAAAACAAATATATATATTTACATAAAACAAGCAGGAATTTCAAAAACAACAGCCACTGCTGATACCACGTCTGCGCATAATACGGTATTCATAACACGGAAGAACACGGTATGTACCTACCTCCGAACCTCCCCCGTACGATAATAATATAATGACGTAAAGTGTTATTATAAAAACGCGTTGTTATTAATAACTCTCCGGAGGGATTTGACAACACGAGCCGGCGCAAAAACATACAGTATACTGGTGAGTACACAAGAGCCCGGAATCCGGAATAGTCCCGAAGTCATCGTGTAATATTATTACATAAGCTCGTCAGACGGACGGTATATCGTGGTAATTACAACCATTTCGTTGTCTTTGCGACGGTGTTCTCGAAATCTGATAACCCCGCGACAACAGACGGCTGCTGATATATATGTACGTATACATGATTATGTAGAATTTTAGAGGAGTATCTGAACCCGTACGGACAGTACAGTGCATTGTGTACAAATATATTACAATGATATGCGATGACGCAACGGATCGGTACGATTGAATAATATTGGTAGTGCAGTATCATCGCGGAAGTTACGGAATGGCCTAGCACTGTGCTTCTTAAACCGTAGGTCGTAGCCCACTAGGATGCTGTTTCCGTATAATATGTTAGACGACGAAATATCTGCGAGTATAGTTATATCGGATTTCAGTAGTTGGTGGGGAACGAAAATTCCGTATCATTTTAACGATTTTAATAGTGGAAAAAATGCCTACGCCATAGACATTTGAAGCCCATAACGATTTTACGTAGAGGAATACGATGAATTCGAGAAGCACCGATCTAGTGTGTACACGGAGTTCACATGAACGTCGTTCGTCCCGTCCATATAAGTCGTGCACACGTGTACCGTGTATGTGTACACAAGTATTGCGTTGTTTATTTACAGTGTACCTTTGACGGTAAACGCGATCTCTCGTCACACCCACGGATGGTCTGATATTCATCGTCAGACCAAGGGCGATATAGGATTATAATAAAAAAAGCGTTGAATATTTTTTTTTTAGGATCGTTCCTTAAAAAACAAAACCTAGTCAAGAACTGCAGCAGCAGCCACCTGCCCCCGTCGCGCACACCACGTGATCCGTCCTGTCAGTTTCGCCTAATACGCAATCATTTATACAATTTATGCAATCATACGATTCGTATGCACTCGAAATATCACCATCACCGTGTGCAGTGCATATGCATGCAATTATAACATAATGAACCCGCGGAATCCCGAAAATCAATCGTAAAATAATGAAAACCCGTAGGTGCACGCATTGGAATGATGTTATATCGCGTGATGTGAAGCGTAAAATCTAAATGTAACGAAATACGCGATATTGTTACAATAATGATCCGACGGACTAACGCACAAGTGTGGTGACATTTAAAAATATACATCGTTGGGTGCCGACATTTGAAAGTCAACACTTCGATAAAAATTGGTAGCGGTCAGATCTTGGGTTTAAATCATAAGAGATTTTTTTTTTTTTTTTATGTCTAATGAATCAATATGGTAGTTCTGCGTTGAACGCTGATCGGTCAGTGAGTAAACAAGTGATATTTGAATTAATACATTGATAAAATATTATTATTATTATTAAATGCAATTCAATACCAATAATTATTAATTATTTGCAGTAAAAAATAATGAAATGGTAAAACAATTATTGTCATCCATCATTTTCAATTCCATCAGTTCATCGTCCCTCTGTTAAATTTAATCCGAAACAAATATCAAATTTAGCTCTCTGCAAGACATGGTCGGAGATCCTTAGCGTTAAACCACCGAAATTATATGAACACTACATGTAGGGGTAGATACGGAAGAATGACCTAACCTTCCGCGGCCAGAACGATAGGCAGACGCCGATTGTTGAACCTTTACCGCAGCTTAGCGAACATATTGAAACGTGATATTGCATCACCCGTATTTTGTAATAAAATATAAATAAACATGATGTACACGAAATACGATAAATCTTGAGCTGTGTAAGAACAGAAACTATCTATAAATCTAGTCAAAAGCAAGTTGAACGAAATAACTTAATAAATTGTACAAGACGAATAAATTGGCAAATAGAACCGAACAAACAAAGGGTAAAAGTTGACAAGAAGGCCATCGTATATTAGAGCTCCGAATCAGCATCGAATTCAGATGTATCTAGCCGTTTGGTGAAGAAGCTCTGCCTGTAATTGTCGGTAACGTTTCACTGTTTAGTTGTTTGAGTTGATTTAGTCAGTGTTAACAAAACGACCATAATATCGTCGCTACCATTCTATGTTCTAATAAGAATATTTATTTACGTTTAAACGTTGACACTGTGGAGTATCGACCACTCGGCACGTAACGATGAACGATATTCACGAGATTATTTTTCGATCCGAATGATCGTCATGAATAGCGGCTCCATTTCACGAAATGCACGGTTCATCAGATTTCCGCTCGAATAAAATAT